CACCCCCGCCCCCGCCCCCGCCCCCGATTTTATCAATCGGGAAAAACCCGAACCCGATAAACACGGGTTTTTCCCATCCAAATCGGGGCGGGTTCGGGCGGGTACCCACAGGAGCGAGTTAGATTGTCATGCCTAGTTGTCGCTTCAAATGTCTTGGCTCGAGGTCAATGTTGTAGGTGTAGACCTTAGAAGCTCAAAGTCACTTCTTCTTCCTCTCCTTCATCATCGAAAAGTCAGAGTCATTCCTTTTTCCTCTTATCTTTTCTTGATTAAGCTCAAAATCAATGTAAGAAAAGTTATAACTCAAATTGTTGTTATATTTTGAGTTACATGTGGTTGGATCATCATAAAAAATGTGATTGTGTGGTTAAGTTTTTAGATTTATAAGAATTCTATATTGTAAAGTTGGATTTTCGGAGAAGGTGAACCAAAACCTAAATTTGTTGATACCTTGTTGTTGAAAACATGCATGTTGCATTTGAACTAGCTTCCATGTGTATATGTTACTTCAAATTGTTTTAGAGCTTGTTACACAAATTGTTGCGATTTTTACAATTTTCAATGTAATAGATGATAGAATTATAACTTGACATCTTCATAAAAGTGGTATATAATCTTTTCGTCTTTCACGTGAGACAAGGATGAACTTGATAATAATAGTATAACCTTATTTGTGTTTTTTTTTTATGTGAAAGTTGTTATTGCATAACAATTGATTTTGATACGTTGTATGTTGATACATGTGTATGATAGGTGAGTTTGATGAACATGAATATTTCAATACTTGTATCCATTTGCATGTTATGTGATGTATGATGATAAGGATAAGCATTGGTATACTATACTTGTATAGTTGAAATTGGTGATGAACATTAATATGCTATGTATGATTGGAATGTTATTCTTGTATGATTGAACTCTTAATAAGCATTAGTATGCTAAGTATGTAGGTATGACTTGTCTCTATATACATTGACCTAGGATAATGTAAATAGATGATGTATGTTGAAGTGTGATGTCGAGAATTCTGTAGGTAGTAAAACATGTTGATTGACTTGGGATTAAAGGAAATGATATTGTTTTGAAAGTTGAAGATTCCATATAGAGAATCTTGTCATGACACTTTACGAGGCTAATTATTGGAAAACCCTCATTAAGTAACAGTGAAACTCTTTAAATGAATTTTGTTGGGTCTCCTATAGGTTTTTAGTTAATGTGGAATGAAACATGAAGTCTAGGGCTATAACCCTTAACCAATGGCTAGAAAGGTTGCATGATTTATTAAGGATAGTTAGTGGGCTAACTTTATATGTGATTTGATAATGCATGTCAAGGTTGTGGTACACCTATACCCAACTATACCAATTCTGACAATGGAACTAGACTTTTCTAGTATAAGTGGCGACACTCAAGAAATCAAAAGTAGGGATTGGTATCCTATTTTATCTGTGGATTTAGTAGGTGCGTATGGCGTGAAAGTGATCATGATTGATTCAATAAGGTTAAGTCATTTAAACTGTTCAAGTATATTTAACAAATCTTCATAAGTAAATGTGTGACGACACATTAGTTGTTGTGTGTGTACATGTGATGTGGGTTTAGTTGTTCGTTGTTCATATGTACTTAATGATTACCTTGTTATATGGTATGGTGGTGGTGAATGTCTGAATTGCTTCATGTATTACTTTCAAACAGGTTGATTTGGTGATTGTTGTATACCATAAGGTGTTTATAGATGACTTACATGTGGATGTTGATGGTATTATAAATATTATCTTTATACTTGTATTCTTTTGAAATCTAGTTTATCTTATGTATTTTCTCTATGTGACTTAAAATACGATGATTATGATTCTCATGGGATCATGACAAGGTTAATTGGTGTAGGCTTTTGGAGTTGTTAGGTTATGTTGTTGACAATGTAATAGATGACTATCTTTATTGATATGTATAAACATGCTTAAACGATTCTTAAGATTCATATTTTACTTTTTGGACCCCCTCTCTCTCTATCTCTATATATATATATATATAACTTTAAATATAAGGTAGTGTGATTGTTAGTTATTTTCATCCGTAAGTATAATTAACATAAAGAAACATTACAGGTTTTAATAAAAATTAAGTATAATTTTCATACAATACTAATGTACTATTAATTATTAAATTAATAATTTATTATTTATAATAATTTATATTTGATTGATAGTACAAAGAAATTCTATATTGTTACTATATTTTAATTAATTTTTTTAAAAATAATAAAAAGTATGGTCTAAGTGTAATGTACAGCAAATGTAAAAAGCCATTACAAGAAAATCATAGAAAATAGGAAGATTCTCTTGTAGGAAAATGATACGATAAGATTTTGTACCAGAAAAGTTTCAAACGCATGGCGGTGGAGGTGCTAATGTGGTAAGTGCATACATAAGAATGATGTCTAAAATTGTAATTACTTATTAAAATAATTGATAAATTTAAAAAGTTTTTAACTATTATTTAAAAAATTAAGTAACATCTGTCCTTAAATATAATTTTAAGCAATTAAAAACAAAATTTATTAACTAAAATTACTAATCTGTAAATATCTATCATATATAATTTTAATAAAAAAATTAATTAACATCTGATCCGTCCTAAATGGCACATGTGATGAAGAAAGCGTGACGACGATGACTAATAACGGATTTGCTTGCTCCCCAAGCCAGACGCACCTTCGAGAACCTCTTACAACCGAATATGACTGCTCTGGAACCTTCTGGACCTTTTTCTAGCACCTTCTAGCTCCTCCCAACCGTTCCCCTCAAATACCCACTCTCACTTCCATTTCTCGCACCATAGTCGAACCAAAGCTACCTTCTGCAATTTCAATGGCGTCCTCTCTCCCTCTGAAGCGCTTCCTTTCCTCTCCCATCCTCTCCAGGTCTCTCCTCCGTCCCGCAGCGTCGGCTTCCGCTTCCCGCTCCTTCAACACCAACGCCATGCGCCACTACGACGACGACCGCGACGTCGATCGTCGATCCGAACGCTCTTCCCCTCGCACATCGCCCCGCGCCGAT